GTAATTAGGAATAGCTTAGCGGAAAGGGCTGGACCTGAAAAAGGTTAACCACACAATATTAGAGTTTCGTAACTAATTACAATACAGCTTTATCAAATTCCACATAAAGAAACAGCACAAAAGGACCATTTAAGATCGAACCGATTTTACCTGCTGTACTATCATTTTATTTTATTGATTTCAATGATCAAAACCTCTGTCAATCTTGCCAATCTATACCGGGTATCTGAATGTACCGGACCTCTTATTTACCTCTATAATTAGACCCAGTTGTGCAAGAAATGCGATTTCTCACAGGGGTTTCTTTAAACTGTGCACTTTTTGTCACTCTCGCAACTCGCAAGAGGCCTGGTATTATAGCGAGTGTAAATATACCTTCCATCATCCATTGTGGCTTTTTTGTATTGTGAATGCGCATGCCGCTTCGTTTGCTATGCCATATACCTCGAATAACCCCCATATGTCATTGCCAGGGTCGGGATAGAGCTGGAGATAGCATTGAAAAGTTGCTAGAAATAGCTAGATTTAGAGTAAACTGGTGGTAGCTGGGTGGTGCTAGCATGGATGTAGCAGAACGTAGCTACACGGGGTTTCATTGGAGTTGGTTATTTTAATGGCCAAAGAGTGCCGGAACTAAAGTTACTTAAGATTGCAGTTTAGGGGCAGTGTAAACCACGGTGTAGTCAGGGACACAGAGCTACAGTGCAGGAGTACTGCAATAGAACAGTGCAAGTGATACAGTCTGCAACAGTAAAACGCCGACGAAGCTAGACTTAGAGTGAACTGATGGAAGCTGGGTGGTGCTAAAATGGAGGTAGCAGAACGTACTACATGATGAAAACAGGAAAACTAAGGCTGGTTGAGACCTAAAAAGATGTGAATCTGTCCTGATAGATCCAGTGAAGAGCGAGTAGCGAAGAGTTTGATCACTAACCTAAAGCTCTAAACAAGAAGAGGGCTAAAGAGACTCACTTTGATCAATAAATCCGGTACGGCAAGGTCTGTAGCCTTGATAAGAAGATACCATGAAGTAATTCATGCAGAAAAGTCGATTTATATAAAGGGTTTCGTTGGATCTAAAAAGGGTGGGTCAGTCTCTCTGTTTTCATAAGATTCTGATGAAATGCTGTTAAGCTCAGGACGGTGATCTTAATAGGTCGGATAGCTGTATCTGGTTGCTTCCAGCCCACCCTTGTCGCTTGAAAATAAGTTCTCACCCCACCTCTTCCAAAAATACAGTTACCAGAGCAGGAAACTCTTCTTCCTCCTCTTCTTTCAACACAAACACAATCAGGTTCCAGCTACTCTCCTCCTCTGCAGCCACAATCTTATCTCCTTCTTCGGAGTTTTACTGTTGCAGACTGTATCACTTGCACTGTTCTTTTGCAGTACTCCTGCGCTGTAGCTCTGTGTCCCTGACTACACCGTGGTTTACACTGCCCCTAAACTGCAATCTTAAGTAACTTTAGTTCCGGCACTCTTTGGCCATTAAAATAACCAACTCCAATGAAACCCCGTGTAGCTACGTTCTGCTACATCCATGCTAGCACCACCCAGCTACCACCAGTTTACTCTAAATCTAGCTATTTCTAGCAACTTTTCAATGCTATCTCCAGCTCTATCCCGACCCTGGCAATGACATATGGGGGTTATTCGAGGTATATGGCATAGCAAACGAAGCGGCATGCGCATTCACAATACAAAAAAGCCACAATGGATGATGGAAGGTATATTTACACTCGCTTCCTATACCCCCCCCCCCCCCCCCCCCCCCCCCCCCCCCCCCCTATAATACCAGGCCTCTTGCGAGTTGCGAGAGTGACAAAAAGTGCACAGTTTAAAGAAACCCCTGTGAGAAATCGCATTTCTTGCACAACTGGGTCTAATTATAGAGGTAAATAAGAGGTCCGGTACATTCAGATACCCGGTATAGATTGGCAAGATTGACAGAGGTTTTGATCATTGAAATCAATAAAATGATAGTACAGCAGGTAAAATCGGTTCGATCTTAAATGGTCCTTTTGTGCTGTTTCTTTATGTGGAATTTGATAAAGCTGTATTGTAATTAGTTATGAAACTCTAATATTGTGTGGTTAACCTTTTTCAGGTCCAGCCCTTTCCGCTAAGCTATTCCTAATTACTAAAATATGTCGAGATTTACTGAACTCCAACTTCAAATATTGATGATTTTAGTATTCCCCAATCTAAAAATCTTCGAAGTTTTTCTGCAAAGCATTTTTATCCACGTTTCATGCAATTCGATCACTTTTGGCGGAAAAAAATATTTTCAAATTTTCAAACTTTTTTTTTGAAGTCTCGAAAAAAAATTTTAAGTGAAAAATTTTTGAAGTTTTTCTAAAAACTACATTTCTCCGTGTTTCAAACGATTTAAATCATTTTAAGCCAATAAAAAATTTTCACTTTTTTTGGTGATTAACTAATTGGTAATTATCCAATTAGCTGATTGTCCGATGTAAAAATTTTTGATACAAAAGTTTTACTCCTTGATAAGATAAACATTCTAGGTTAATTTGCAGCCTTCTATGATGTTCACAACTAAAGATATTTGGCAAACCAGAAAGGTGGTACAAAGGTGGTAAAAAGTGGTAAAAGTGGTGTTTCCGTTGAGATACAAAATTGGCAACAAGTCTAATTATGTTCGTAGGGGTCCTAACTACCATATTCCGTTGAGAAATCCTTGTGAACATTCGAATCCAACGGAATGCCACTTTTCCCCTTACTAAAACATTGCTAGTTACGCTTCTGTGTCGTGTTCAGTATCTTCAAGTAAATTAGCAGGACACAATCCAGCTGTGAGCTGGCATGAACCAGAAATCTGATAATTTATATTACATATTCCGATATTACATGTCAGGATTCATCAGAAGTTCAGGAACCTAGCGATTATAAAATTCAGATAACATTGCTAGTTACTCTTCTATGCTGTGTTCAGTATTTTCAAGTAAATTAGCAGGACACAATCCAGCTGGCATGAACCAGAAATCTGTTAATTTATATTACATATTCTGATATTAAACGGGTAGCTGATTTTGATAAAATAACATCGTAATCCGATGAAATAACAGACGTAATATTACTTATTAGGACATTAGTAATTTGATAAAATTTCGATGTGTGAATTACCCTGAATTAAAGCTTGGTGTCAGGATTCATCAGAAGTTCAGAAGCCTAGCGATTATAAAATTCAGATAACATTACTGATTACTCTTTAATGCCGTGGGATTAAATTAACAGGACACAGTTTGCCCCTTGTAGTCCAAATTTGCATAACATAATTGCTAGAATTCATTCCTTAAAACAAATTTTCCAAAATTTGCTCCAGTTTCTCCCCATTGCATGTTGCACCCTCTTTGAGAGTGAGACCTATTACTATAAGCATATTTTTCAAAACTTGCAGGACTTTTCCTCTCACCATTAAATTGGTACAAAAAATCTTTCTGGATTTTTCATTTCACATTGCTAGATTTCAATTCTGGAAGCAGTTTTTCGATAGAATGCATTATGCATCCCTTTTCGAACTACAAGTTTATTTCGCAAGAGCTGCTTGCAGGCCCTAATATGCATTTAAAATCGTATCATTTTAATCGTTCTTGAAACTGTGTTTGAAAATGATCTCTATTGCCAAATTGCTTAGCTAGGCCTTTTCACACGGGATCTTCACACCTGGATTTTGGACCGAAGTCTCCCAGTGGCTCCTCTATCGTTGTTTTGAGTATCCGATACAAAACCAAATCCTAGGGCACGCGAGACGTGGAAGCCTGTGAGCGTGTTAGTTTCCTGGAAGGTATTATTTGCCTGTGGGAAGAGCGGTTATGCTGCGGTTCTAAGTTTAGCAGAGGCTATTAGAGCCTTTCCTTTGTTGTAGAGATGGCTAGTCCCTTCTTTTGCATAGGTTAGAAACACCCATGCACCTCCCGTTCGAGCCACCCACCCCACACCGCGTGGAGGTTCGGTGAGGTTTTCGTGGGGCCACCTGCATAGTCAATATTCGATCAGTTTGAACATTAGTTTCATTTGTCAGAACCCCAAATACTTTAAGTGTTTATATCTAAAGATGGTACTTTAACCGTAACCCTAACCCTAACCCTAACCGGCCTAACCCTAACCCTAACCCTAACCTATATAGAGACATGGTTCAGAAAAGGACAGAAAACTGCTTTTAAAATATTTTTAAAGTTTTGGCTGATTTTGAGAGATAACAGACTCCGGTTTCAAATTATTGGAGCGTTTCAAATTATTGGAGCGTGAAAAAAAGCATGCTGTTATGGTTTTGATATGACGGAAGAGTTGTATTTTTTAACTTTATATTTTCTCCATATTATGTACACTCACTACACCTGCAAAGTCAATATTCGAACAGTTAAAACGTTCGTTTCATTTGTCAGAACCGCAAATACTTCAAGAGTTTATATCTAAAGATGGTACTTTGTGCATTGACAGAATTTAATATAACGAAATCAAATTTAATTCCGTTTAATAACGTCTATAATTACTCACATACCATTATCTTACAGTGTGATGATTATATTTAACGTTTTGGCTTAAGATACCATCGGGTATTTCGCTTTAATAAAAACAGGAGTATTCCAGGAAGCTCTTTGTAACACTAATTCTAAACGCAGTGAAGCTTTCGAATATCACGTGATCACTTTCAGACCGCCATCTAGTCGGCTGATTTGTGTTTAACTTAATCTTTGCGAAATAATTTTGGTATCATATTGCACCGAATTATATATATTTAAAAGTCAAAGTATGAAGCCTCTATAAGAACTGGTCATGGGGTTTAGTTTGTTTCTAGTCCAACATTCAATTTGAAGCAATACGCAGATCTCATTCAGCTGTGCTCATCAATACTCAATAGGTTATTTTGCGATCTCCTTGCCGCTACAAAGCGCACCCTTTTCTTACCAGTTTAGCTTTATTTAAACGTTGCTAGTCGTTGTAGTTTAAATCGTATACGTCTGAATTACCTTTGCATTTTTGAAGATCAGTAAAAAACCAAAGAATAACACAGAAGGTAGCATTAGTTGTGAGGATGATCGTGGAAAATAAGGTTCACTCAACTAATGAATCCAGCCTGCCGGAAGCAGATAAAGGACCGGTCAGTAGTGATGATTTGCTAGAGGAGTTGACCCGAAACCGGAGTTGGAAGTATACAGCTCTGATAATGTCACTGATGTTGATATGGACGGGACAAACCGTAAACATTTATTTAACTGCATTCGCAGGTGATTGGAATAACATAACTTAAAAGCCTGATCGCAGATCATTATGTATGATATAAATCAAGAAGTACAAGATCGGGAAGAAATTCAAAACGTGTTGCAATTTTATGTATTTTCATCTACATTCTAGTACTAAAATGAAGATGGTGTGTATTTATTTTAGCTAATTTTGCTAATTTGCAAATACTTTTTCAGGTATTGACCCAACCCCCGACGATATTTGGAAATGCAAATCCGAAAAGTGTCTTGAATTGACAAGAGTTAATCCATCATTACTTCAAAAATTTCCTTGCAAAATCACGGAAGAAGTAAGTGGCAAAGAAGAGCTAATTTTTGGACCTTCGGACATAGAATGGAGTCTTGAGCATACCTCATTTTCTGTGGAGTTTGATTTGTACTGCGATGTCGGATCCCGAAAGGCACGGAAAACCCTGTTATCGTCAATTTTGTTTGCTGGAGGATTGTTGGGGTTTATTCTAGGTGGTTACTTGTACGATAATATTGGAAGAAAAAAGACAGCCATGATTGGCATCTTCATCGGAGCTTCTTCACATCTATTGGGGACATTTTGTCATGACTACAAATTACTCTTAGCAATTAGGTTTTTCATTGGCGTTGGTAATATTTTAGCTTCCGATGGGATGTACATTCTCACAGCGGAGCTTATTCCATCCAAGCATAGGAACATCACGAACGGTTGGTCAGGGTGTTTGGCTTCATTTGGTTACTTCATTGCAGTAGGAATCGGCTACTTCATAAAAAGCTGGAACAACATGTTTTTAGCAACGTCAATAATGATGTGGCTCATAGCATTACAAATCTTTATCTGCCCAGAATCGCCCAGATTCTTTTTGATAAAAAATGATGTGAACGCAGCCAAGAAAGTCTTCAAAACCTTAGCAAAATTGAACAGCATAGACTTGGATCTAGAAAACATCCAAATTATAGACGTCGGAAAGGCTAAAGATAGAAACCATAATTTCAAGCAGCAACTGACCGAATTTATTCGGTACCCGAGTCTTCGACTTGAAACGATAATACTCATGGCCCTGTGGCCATCTGTTGCTATGTTTTATTGTGGTTTCAGTTTTGGTTGGCGAGAGATATTGCCAGATATATACTCAGGGTACATTATGGCTGGTGTGGGAGAAGCAATATCTTCTTTAACGTGCGTCTCTTTTACAGGCTGGCTGGGAAGAAGAAGGGCCATGGTAGTCATGTTTCTCGGGGCTGCTCTGACTTACCTCATAGCGATTCCAAACGTGGAATTTGGAAGTGGCTGGACAATGGAAAGTGTCAGCTGTTTGATCGGAGTCATATTTGTTACCGGAGCATACGCGGGACTGTTTCTCTGGACTGGAGAAATAGCACCAACAACACACAGAGGTCTTGTGTTCAGTATTTGTTCTGGTATTTCCAGAGTTGGCTCCTTCATAGGTCCGTTCATATTCAACAATTTGGCACCCATCACTCACAAAGCGGTACCTCTTGGGGGCCTAGCTTTTATTTCGGTCCTTTGTATGCTGGGATCATTTCTGCTGGTCGAGACTGGAAACGAGCGGATACCTCTCACTGGACAAGATGTCGAGGAAAGAAGAAAGGACTACAAGTACAAAATCTAGGATATAATATGTAAATTTTCTACGAATGTCAAATCTCTCTATGCCGTGCCACTTGACAGGTTATCAGCTGTGAGGCTACAGAGTACAGAATACAGATACGTTTTTCATACCTTGCACTTTTTGCTTTCCCAAGATGCCCGGTGTAAAAAGGTTTCACTAAGTAGAACATGACAGGACTAAACAGTTTTAATTTGGAAAATCATATTCGTTGTCATATTCTGATTCAGAATATTTTTTATAACAACTGACAATTTTAGGTGAACAGCCAGCCACTAAGGAGTTCATTTTAGAATTTTGTATCTTTTAACGGTCTTAGTACAAACAAAGTATGCATATTATGGTGTTTCCGTAATAATATACTTTATAGTTTATAATTTATATTACTTATTTGACAATTTCTGTCGCCATTTATTCACTCTTTTTACTTGTGTTCTTAAACAGTGATGAAGCACCCAAACATTAAATTGAAACTCAAGAGTGAAATTGCTCACTTGTTGGGTAAAATACCTATAATTTTTAACCTAATTGGACAAAAAAGGCTGAATTTTTATCGAAGAACTGCCCATATTTAAATTTTGGCATACGCATAAAATTTGATAGCTTCTAGGCCATGAATTGGTCAAATATTAACATTTTCGGATGAGACAAACTTTAAATAAAAGAAAATTTGGTGAAGGGTAGACCTAAAACTCCCGACTTTACCAATCATGAATAGAGTCGATAAATTACTGATTAAAACACAACAGTGGAACACTAAATATATCCAAGATCAAAAGCGAGAGTAGAGGTTCAGGTATAACCTTTCAAACAATAAATTCATACAATGAATGCGACCTTAGAAAGGTAGATTCCCCTAAAATAATGTAACGTATCCTACTCAGCTAATAACTTAGATGTCTGTCAAGAGAAACCTGTATTGGTGAAAAGGCTTAGCTTCAGCACTGAGGTGGTCTCTGAAGTCTTGGTATAATTATGAGACCTTAACTAGACGGTATGTAACGCGTCACTTAATGGATTACACAGAATTACACATGATTAAAATTAAATTATAGATCCATTATCATGGACCGTCGAAATTGTTGACAGAAATTAATGAAAACATTCATCTTTGCTTGAAGTCAGGGCCAGGATTATCCTTAAATCTTAATTATGACTAATTCGCTAGGTTCTCGCCAAATTGATAGTAAAATTGTTTAAGTTTCGTGCATTTGAATTACGTTGACGCATATCTCGTAGTTGCGTGAGTCTCTGTTATAGCTGGTCGGCACATAGCGCATCTCGTATATAACGCCGAGTACGTGATCTGAAAATCCCATAAATTGTGAAAATATCTTCAACTCTTGCGGGTTGAGTTATATGAATTTCGTGATGTAGACAAAAAGTTCTCACAAAAGTACAACTTTTCTTCTGGCATCTAATGGCACTCTTCCTCCGGCCTCCCAAGAGGCAAGAGGTTGAGCTCTAAAATTCGCCCTGTCACGCATCTCGTTATTGATCACGTGACGCGTCACGTGCCGTTTAGCTAGGGTCTAGAGGGCATGGATTTTATTCTAAAATTAATCTAAGGTTAAACAAGAACTCTCCTTATTTGGCAATATTCCAATAATTATGTTCCTAACTTCTTCAATTAAATGAGGAGCGTAAACACTAAACACCCACGTTTTTTAGCCTTGAATTATCTCCATCGAATTACTGAAGTTTTAAAAGCTCGTATCTACAATGTTATCTGAAATTTGGTAGCCCTAGAGACGTTATTGTGGAACACAGAGTGATAATTTGTTGATCTCATTATTAATCACGTTTTCTGTGTCCACTGCACTGTCCGTACAATCACTGATTCTATAACATTTTATTCACAGGGAAATCAGACGGTAATTCTGATGAAAAGAACAAAGACAAACACGGCGATAGAACCAGCTCTTCTGATGAATCACGAGCTAATAGGAACCATGGTGTCCGCTCGTCTGACAACTTGTCACGTGACGACAGGAACCGGGGCGACAAGTCAAGAGATGACAAATATAAGAGTGACAGATCTCGAGACCGGGAAGATAAGAGGAGAATGGACCACACGCACCATAAAAGGGATGATAGATCAGGCCGTGATCACGAGAGGTGAGATTTATACATTTTGGGGAGGGTGTCGCTAACATTGGAGGTTTGAGATGTCTTCTCTGTAATGTATACTCGTATACAGTTAAATTTACCTATTCAGTATTTACAGTTTCCGTGCCTACCGATCAATGATTTGTCTTATCTTATCCTCAGTCCTTCTGGAGCACAACATAAGCTACAGAAAGCACATGAGTTATAGGCGGTCCTGTCACGTGTCAGCTCCATGTCGTATTATTATACTAGGCTAGATAATATACTCTAGTAAATCTAGTTATATCCTTACAAAACATGACCAACCCGACCGCATATTATTATTCATGTATGACCTATAAGCAAATTACTTTCCAGATCACGTGACTACAAACGTAGAGACAACCGTGGTGGCAGAGACTTTAGAGGCAGAGGTTACCGCGGTAGAGACCACCGCACAGACTTTAGGCACAGGTGGGTCGCATTATTCCTAGGCACAGGTGGGTCGCATTATTCCTGGGCTCATTATTCATAAATGCGTGTGATACGATTGAAATGAATTCGTAAAATAGCACCAATAGTATGCTTTCATATTCATTGTAATGGTTGCTGTTATTGTATCAATACTTTATTATATAGGTCGGCCAGCCAGGAGGCAAAAGACCGAGAATTTGAAGAATATAGAAGAAAAAAATATGGGGATAGCAGAGATTGGGGCAAAGTTAGCGCAGGTCAGAACAATATAATGTTCTCCAGATTAATTTTTAGCTTTTCCCCACCTTTAAATATTATTTTACTACAGTCACAAAGTTATTTAAGAATTAATAATATTGGATTATTATCTGAACCTTGAATCCCTATTTCGATCACAGAATATTTTAAATCATGACTAAAGAAATTAAACGAATATCAAACGGAAATAGTTCAATGATTACTAAATAATAAATTAGTAACTAGATACTAATTAAAAAATGATCACTCATCGAAGTTTTTGTATGCCTCTATTTTCTCAGAGTCTCTGAAGGATGTTAAGACAGATTCAACTCTTCCAACTTCATTTGACAACAACATCGCAAAGCAGCTGGCCGCTCAACGAGAAAAGAGGAAATTGCTTTGGGGCAAAAAAGAGGTCATTAAAATGATAAGTGGATGGTTTCAAACGTGTTTTTAGATTCAAAATAACGGGAAATGTCGAAATTTAATTTTAAATCAGAGACATGACACTTTGTGTTTTCTTAGATGTGAATCTCATAATTAATAATAATTAAACGTAGGATGGAGAGGGATCAACTTCAAGTCAGAAAGGTGCCTGGGGAACAGGATGCCTTAAAAACGACGAAACAGGGGAGCAAACAGCCAAGTTTCTGAAACTCATGGGAGTCAGGGATGTTACTGCTGACAGTAAGTCTTAGCAATTTAAGGTTCAGATACAATCGTAGATTAAACTCTTGTCGAATTACACTGTGCTGTTTATCTCATATTTCCTATAAAAATTTTTTTTTTCAGATTTAAAGGATTATAAAAAGTCTGATGAGAGCGTGTTACGCTCATCTGAAGCTGTTAATTCTATGGAAAATGAGTATGAGAAAAGCAGGTAAACAGCTAATAGAGCTTTGATAAATAAATGATGCGTTACTACCCCAATTTGAATTGATTTATCTTTTATTTTGAAATTATTCTAGTGTAACTGAAAGAATTCAAACTATTCGTTCATTATCGGTTCACATCACGTTTTCATATAAAATTCCCTGATGATTCACTTTCCCAGGTATATGCAACATATTAACAAGGGAGTCGGATTGGGTATGATACAATTCACCAAACCGCCTCCCCCCACCTGAGGACACCTCTTCTTTTTCCAGAACTTACTAATCCGAACATTACCTCCGCAAGACTCTGACGAATTTTATTTGAACCTGTTTTTTAGCATATTACCATTTACTGTTGTATATCACCATTGATTCATTAACATTGAAGAAATGTGGTGATGTCTGATATGGTGATACAACCCTACTGAACAATGTCGAGTGCATAAATTTTTGGGCTGTTTTGAATTTGCTGCGAAATTAAATTGTTTGGGAATTGATATATATTAATATTTAATAGTTGAGAATATAGATGACTATTAGATTTAGACTTCTGTGTTTGTCTTTACGGTTTACTGCTGAATGAACCAGGAATACGTGAAGTGCACCTTTGTTTTCATATGCCTGGTTCATGTTGCATGTTGTTATCTTAACAAATTTGGATTTATTAATTTCTTTTTCATAATGAAATTTAGAGATATGACCTCTTTCATGCCATAATAACGATTGATTGAAGGATAATATGTTACACAGTAAGAAACTGACTCTGTGCCTTGGAATGTGATTTTAAGGGGGCGTACACCAAAACAGTGGTTTGTGCCGTCCAAGCCAAATGACCTCATATGCAGTTCAGTGACCATCTAGCGTACCGTTTCCACACAAAAAAATATTTTGAGAATACCTATTTTTGTAATTAAGCATTTTTCCTGGTACAAATAGATCGACATCGAGAGAGAAAACTAATATAAGCTTTGTGCTTTGATTATAAATTATTAAAAACATCATAACTATAATTGAAATTAAATCTGTACATCATTGATTCGAATTTCTTGTAGTTATGTAATGGCTACGGCCTACGTTTATTCAAACACATTTTTATGGAAGCTTGACAAACACCCAGAGTTAAAAACATTCTGGTTACTTCATCACTCATGCTGAGGTAATTGTCGCATGACAATTTTTCAGTCATTTTTAATGCGACATTATCAGTGGTGAGACCCGCTTTTAGGATGGGATTAGTGCAACTGCAACGCTGAATAACGCAGAACGCTCTCTAAAGAGCGGCAGCTAGATAGTCAGTGTAATAAGCGCCAAGCGCGAGCACAGAACTTTTTTTCTCCGATTTCGATAAATTTGGTACCAAAATTTGTCTAAAAATGTGAATAAAATTAATCCACCGTGTAGCAATTTTCGCTAAAAATGATACACGGCGCTTGTTCGCCGCGCGTGCTTTTTTCGCGCAAATTTTTAGTTTTTGGCCTATAACTTTCACATTTTCAGTTATTATCACATAATTATTATGGCATCGTAATCAACTCATCGAGACGAAACTTTTAGTACTAAAATTTTAAGATTTAAATGAAAATTATTTTCAAAATTTTTCAATCTGAACACAAGGTCCCGTGTGAAATTTTGAACAAATTTTTGAAAAATTTGGTGCTTCAAATATTATAATTTTGGTACCAAAAGTTGCGTCTGACTACGCTCATTATTGTCAAACGTTGTATGACCCGCCGCGCAAGAGTGCGCGGCTCCGGCCCCTGTATCGTCGAAACTCTACACTATAGTGAAACGACCGTGGGGGTCACCACGTGATACAAGCTCATTACGATACTGTAATAATTATTTCAAAATATTCAATATTTTAGGAGTTATAGGCATTTTAAGCAATAAATTACCCATTTTTCGTCCTTTGTACATTCTTGGGCTCTTACTAAATCGCCCAAAAATTTCACGTGACTTTGGTTTTTTTGGTTTTGCAGCCGCACAAAACGGTTTTACATAAACCCTAATCCCAACCCTAACCATAACCCCGAAGCTATCCATAATCTTAACCACAACCCTAACCCTAACCCGAGCCCTAAATAATCGAATTCACGTTTTACTAGCCTGTCACGTGACCAAAACGGTTTTTTGCCCATAACTCTCCAGGGAAGCATTTTAACCCTACGTCATGGGGGGTGATTCGGAATCAGCGTCCAAAAATACACCGATCCAGATCACTTTCATGCCTAAAGGGCCTTTTCACAAGAATTTTCTTAAAATTTGGGCGAGCGATTTAGTAGGAGCGACATTCTTGTAATGCACAGGAGGCCCACATATAGCTCGACGTTATCGTGCTACACGGTGAGGGGCAACTTTTGGTACCAAATTTATCAAAATCAGAGACAACAAATTCTGTGCCAACTCATGGCGCTTATTACATAGACTAAGAGCTCATAAAGTCACTTCCAAAGTGCTCATTATCTTTTCCAAACCGTGCAATCATGAAGAGCATTGAATGAGTAAAAAGTGCCATATTCAGTCAGTTATCGACAGATATGCCTACACAAGGAAATGTTTCTAAAGGTAAAATTTCGAATTCTTCTACCTCCTTATTAAAATTAATATGAATGAAGTTATGAGTTTACATTTCGACTTAGTGAATTATCCTGACATTATATTTATAATCAAAAAGGGATGATATTTGACCAAAACCCATAATCATGGGTAGATTAAGATATAGAGTGGACCGTTGCCAGTGTCTCTCTTTTCCAAATTCAATAAGCTGTATTACAATTCGTAAGCCGTGAATGAATGCATAATGGGAAAATGGAGCGACCGATTGCATGATTCTCGGTATCAATTTGCATTTGCGGACGGTTATTCAAATTAATATCATTACCTTGGCCTTTTTTTGGAAAAGAGAGACACTGGCAACGCCAACGGTCTACTCTACCCATGATTATGAGTTTCGCCTTTGGTCAAATTGAATAACACAAAAATAATAAAACAACTGACTAACAAAACGGAACATAAAAACTAATATGCAGCAGTTTTATCATATCCCAAAACTGAATACGTTGTCAAATTTGTTTTTCTCTTTTTCTTTATTCTGATTTTTTGTTAAATTTTACTCTTAAACAAATAAAAAAAAGCAAAAACTTAACAGCTGAATAGTATATAAATATCAAATATTGGCAACATAAATATTGAATAACACAATTGATAAAACAACTGACTAACAAAACGGAACATAAAAACTAATAATAATATAATTATACAGCAGCTTTATCATAATCATATCCAAAACTGAGTACGTTGTCAAATTTCTTTCTGATTTTTTGTTCAATTTTATATAACTCTCCAGCAAATACAAAATAAAAGAGCAAAAATTTAACAGTTGAACTTGAATAGTATATAAATATTTACTGGGCGGCGCTCAGTACAGCCTGTCATTCCGCCAAATTTCCATTCGGATTATGAACATAAAATTAAATATAATAGCCTGGGGTCCCCAGGTTAATAAATATTAGCAACATAAATATGTTGAACAGCGTAAGATGGCAAGAGCTACGAAGTAGCGCGCGCCGGGTCAGATCATTAACAATGGTCAAATATTCACGCAATTAACAAAAAAAAACTTACTAACAAAACGGAACATAAAAACTAATATACAGCAGCTTTATCTCATCCCAAAACTGAATACGTTGTCAAAGACAATTTTTTTCTCATTTTATTTATTCTGATTTTTTGTTAAATTTTATTCTTAAGCAATTAAAAGAGCAAAAATTTACCAGCTGAATAGTATATAAACATAAGCAACATGAATATTGAATAACACATAATTAATAAAACAACTGACTAGTAATAGTGACTAACAAAACGGAACATAAAAACTAATATACAGCAGTTTTATCATATCCCAAATCTGAATATGTTGTCAAATTTTTTCTCTTTTTCTTTATTCTGATTTTTGTTAAATTTTACTCTTAAGCAAATAAAAAGAAACAAAAATTTAACAGCTGAATAGGTATATAAATATTAGCAGCATGAATATTGAATAACAAACAATTAATTAAACAACTGACTAATGAAATGAAATGAAGTAAAGCATTTTTATCCCGCTTATATCAACAATCCAAATAAAAAATAAAGATTGCCGATGTCAAAGCGGCTGGCCTCGCGATATAATCCAAAACTAGATACTCAATATATGAATATAATACTAGTAACAAATATAAAAACCAAAAGTACTTAACATATAACGGAACATAAAAACTAATATACAGCAGCTTTATCTCATCCAAAAACTGAATACGTTGTCAATGAAAATTTTTTTCTCATTTTATTTATTCTGATTTTTTGTTAAATTTTATTCTTAAGCAAAAAAAGAGCAAAAATTTAACAGCTGAATAGTATTATATATATATATATAAACATTAATAGCAACATGAATATTGAATAAAATACAAATGATAAAACAACTGACTAAAAAACGGAACATAAAAACTATTATCACACTTTCGAGCCAAATTTGGCAGGAAAGCAGAATTGATATTGCATGCCCCGATTAGATGGGGAGCACTGGCTCTCACCCGGGGGCATGAAATATCAATTAGTTGCTCAGAGAGAGCCCGATATTCCCATAGGAACAAGGAGCCCACTCTCAACAACTGTTCTACTACTGTGAGGTACTGATTTAAATAAAGATTTAAATCAACAACCTGAAGTAGTCTCTGACCGTAAATGCAATGATCAGATGGACTTTCCAGAAATAGGAAAAATGTATATTTATAGTTGGTTTTAAAAACATTTCCTTGCGTTTGAGATGTGTTAAGCGAAATACAATTTTTTGTTGTAAAACTTTTTCAAGCTGTTGCTTTTTTATTGCACTTCATAGTTCAAAGCCTAATTAGGCTTCGGATGATGAAACAAAGTAAAAACTCCCTGGTTTGTACGAGCTTTAAGTGACTTAAGATTACTGAAAACGAGATCAAAGTTTACAAGCAGACTTGAAAGTTGCACAAAGTTTTGGTACTTGTCAGCGATACAATCAATCAGGCTAATTGATTTCCTTAATCGCTTACTTGAAATTAAAAAGGAAGTGTCAGAACAAACTACAGTCGCCCTCACAAAAAATAGTAAACACTAAACGATGTTTGATTAATTCGAACGTAGAAAACACACAAAACAAGAATCTTGGTGTCAAGTAGTTATATTTGAAAGAAAATTATTGTCAAGAATTGATAAAGGGCTGGTCAGCAAATCATAACGTAATAAATTGTGATACATTACGATATGGGATCCTGGATCATTCGCATATTAATTTAGCCACATTTCAGCCATTTCAGACCTCACTTTTAACCCCCCTCTGATCCCTTCTGTGAGCCATATTCCATATAGAAATTGTGCAGAAATTATACTAGGCTTTTCCAAACCGGCTTCCCCTAGAATGGCTTGCGAAATTCGTGGCTGATTTATAACTTGAGACTTATAAATTCTGTACAATAAAGAGCGAAAATTCAATAAAAGTCAATGATTACAAGTTCCAGTGATAAATCATTCTGAAATAACAAACAATCAAGACGGACGATAATATTGTTGATATATGAATTAGGGCGTGTTATAGTACGAGTACAACATGAACAGTTGAAAATTTGGACTTATGAATAGACAATCATGGCGCCACAGCCCAATTCAAATATAACAACCAGGAAATACTATCACCTTATCGCAGATTAGTATTACATGATAAGGACTAGGATGCTATCAACACTAAAACAGA